AAGTTTATTGGATATGGGCTCTTTTTTTGGTTATATGTTTTCCTTATTTTATTGAAATGTTAAGGAGCTTATGGAAGATAATATTCAAGAAAACTTCATCATTTTCCACATACATTCTCCTCTGGGTGAGTATTGCAAAAATATATACTTTTATTTTATTTATTGATTTTTTTTTTTACCCTATACGGTCGTAGAGGCACCACATGTAATGCCGCTGCAGTAGCAGTATTATTTCCCTGGACAAGATAGCACGATACAGCCCAATCTTTTCCAGACTGGTTTTCCTTTTCTTTCCATCCAAAGCTATAGGACCCAATCAGTTCTGCTATTTATCCATAGTTGATGAATGGGAGATTCATAATGAATTCGACTGAAATTCGAACTCGACACTCCGATTTCTCGAGCCGTTATCCATTACTCTATCGTGTCTTTCATTATATTCATTTATTAATTTTTATTATTTATTTACATATTATCACCATGTTAAAAAAGGTTTAACACTAAATTTCACCCTCGAGAGCCACTCAAACTAGATGGTTACCATACAAATGGTAATAATAAATGAAGTTCGTGGAAGAACAGTTGAGGATAGATAATGATTGGCCTTTGATTGGAAGCTTTCAAGCGGACACAGTTACACGAGGTTGCAGTTGGGGGGGTCTCTCTGAGATGTTCCTTCTTATAAAATATTACGCGATATATATTATATTATAGATTATCTATAATACATATAATGAAATATATTATATACTAATTAATATAGAGTAATAGTGAGTCATTGAATGAGAAAATTGGAGAGAAGAAAAGAACATGAATAATCTTGATAAAACTTGAAAAGAAATAAAAAAAAACTTAATATAATACAGGGTGTCCCGCTAAAATTAACATCATTTTGTAGTCTAATAATATCGCCAATTCTCACTGAAATGATCTGAAATTTTAACAAAATGTGTAAAAACTAAGTTGACTGTGCGGTCTTATTGAGAATCAACCAGGAAAATGGATTGGGCGTGTCGGTGATAATGTGCTGTTGAAATGGCCATCACGTTCACCTGACTTTTTTTTTCTATGGGATTATGTGAAAGGAGATGTCTATATCCCCTTCTTCCTACAAGCCTAGAGGAACTTAAGCAGAGAATAATTGGGTCGCTGAGGAATCTTATACAAGACATGCTACAGCGCGTTTGGCAGGAGCTGGACTATCGATTTGACGTGTGTCGTGTCACAGGTGATGCGCATATTGAATATTTGTGAAGCTTTGTGAAACCGGTTATAAAATCTACATCCCTTTGAATATCGTGTTCGAATTTTGATAAATAAATCTCTTATTGTTCAATGTAAAGCCTTTTTAATTTCGTTTGCCTGGTACATGTAGTTACTCAGATATTCACATTTTAAATAATGACAAATTTTTGGGACACCTTTTATTTGTTAGAACTACTTCAGTAACAATCTTCTCCTTCGATGTGCCGTGACTCTACAGAACGTTGATGACCATGGCTCTTCACAATTTTCTGTCATTTGTAGTTCTTAAAATGTGAGTTTTTTTGTTATCTCTCATAAACCCTGTTCAGCCGTTGCTGGAAAGTCATTATCTCCGCAGTCGCTATTTTTATCGCGACTCTACCTATATGCCTAAAAGCCCCCCCCCCTAATAATAATTTCTTCTTGTCGAGCAGGGACTATAACCGAAACGTCTTGAAACAGAAAATTGATGAATTACATTTTGAAATATTCCGACAAGTAATAGCTTATTTATTTATTTTAGATAACATCGGACCTAACTTTCCTTTGGAAGCAAAACTTTTTTTTTAATTGATTTTGTTTTCTGTTGTTAGTTTTTACTTTTTTTTTTTTTTTCAGAATATTCTAATTGAAACCCTTCACTCACTGGGACTTCTAATGTTGGTCTTCATTGTCCTGACGAGTGTTGATCCTGTTCGAAGCTCTATGCTTATCTATGGCGTCGGGTTAATACCATGTGCCTTGGACGTTTTACCTGCTCGAGACAACAGTTCAGCTGACGACGAAACCATTTTTTATAAGAGGGTCTGCTTCCGCCGTTGTTGGAAAGTCATTATCTTTGTAGTCGCCATTTTTATCGCGACCCTACTTATATGCTTTCACATAAGCCTAAAAAACGACTATTTCTTCCTGTCGAACAAGAGCTATAACCAAAACCTCTTCTTCATTACCCCGATTTCCCTGCTTTTGATCTCGTTGAAATATTGGAGCCTCTTTTCGGATAAAATCTGTTCGCCCGAATTATTGGAAAGAATGAACAAACAGAAAACGAAAATATCTCTGCTGGTGTCAATACTTAAGATTGGATACACTCTCCTTTTCATCTACATCTTTTATGGGACTGGCACCAAAGACTGCAATCGGGTACTTTTTATTAGAGGCTCTTCTAATAACGCCACCAATTGCGGTATTCACAAAGTCACACTATCATTTTTAGATTTCAGTCCCGGGCCATTCATCTACGCCTCGATCAACATGATTGCCGGGTTCTTCTGCTTCCGCTTAGCCAAGACAGCGTGTCAGCTATTAGTTCAACGGATTTCGTTCTCTTTTCCACTTGTTTTGATCGGTCCGATTTCTACTTTTCTCGTCCTGCTTTTTACCAGTCAAGGGCTGCCATTTTTAAAAATGACGCCAAAAGACGCGCCTCCAGTAATAGAAAGGGATCTAATCGAATTTCTTACCTGCTATTACAAAGAGTCTACCTGGGAAAGGATTTTCACTATCGGATTTTACCTGTCGTTTCTTTTTGTCACCCGACATGTGTGGACGCCCAAAATCGAAAAACTTGCCAAAACAGACAAGTAAGTTGATAAAACTTAAATTGATCAGAAAAACGTTTCAATAGTTTAATCGAGTGTTGCAAACATTAAAATTTGTAATTATGCTAAACTGTCCATCTCTATTATTATTATTATTATCATTAATGATAATAATAATAATTTTGAGTAGTTTTATTTTTATTTTATTGTTTTTCATTAGTAGTAAACGTAATAGTCTTATTTTGTTGGAACGTTTTAGATTGAGCATTATAGATCTTTGGTAGGATTGCATTTTGTCAGATCTCACAGATAAAAAAAAACTTCACATCACTTAAAAACTTCCAAAAGCAGCAACAACTAAAGTAGATATTATGAAATGAACAAAGTTCAACAATTATTTTAAGACATTTTTATATTTATACATTCTTTTTTATATTTCTTTATATTTAAGTATATGCTCTGTTTATAATAAACAATATTAACAACATTTACCGGCCTGAATATCCGAGAAATTGTCAAATAAAATATGCGTCCTCCGACAGGAATAGAACCTGTATCCTATACAGAACCATCATAGAGCCTGACGTGCTTTTACCGATTTCGTCACAGCGGAGCGTTCGGTTAAGAGTGTCGATTTTACTGTTTTTAAACTACAATTTTCCATGATTTTCTTACGTACATTCATATCTGCTCGATGCGTATCCAAATGTAAACAAATGACGTCACACATTATGAAATCAACAAAGTCCGACAATTATTTTAAGACGCAAATTTTTTGTGACAATTTCTCGGACATTCAGGCCGGTAAATGTTGTTAATACTGTTTATTATAAACAGAGCATTTACTTAAATATTTATATCTATAAAAAAGAATGTATAAGCATAAAAATTTCTTAAGATGGATATCGAATGTAATTCAAAAAGAAAATGGTGGTATGATCAAGATGTTGACCTTAAACAAAAGCCGCCATCAATACTACAGTAGAACGGGCGATAACAGCTCGTGGACTTGAGAAAATTATTTTCTTGAAAAACAGTTTTTAGAGAAAGATTTTATAAAATTTAACTGACAATAATGGTAGCCGAATTTTTCCTTATAAGATAACGGCTATCCTTACCATTATCATTGTCATTATTATTAATTTTGTCTAGATTTACTTTCGTTTTATTGTATTCATATTTATCGCAGTATCTATGACTGTTAAGCAATGTAGATGAAAAAAAACAATCATCACAATTTTATTATTTATTTCTTATCCACACTTCCTACTTAATGCACCTATAATAATAAAAGACCAGAGAATTGTATAGCAACAAAAATAGAATGAAAAAAAAAACAATCCCAAATTAATATTAACTAGTAGTAGTACTCGACATTCGTCGGGAAAGAATAACCCAATTTTAAAAACCTATTTTCACTAGTTTCGAGAACTCAAAGAAAATGTTGTAACGTATAAAGTCGGATCTGCCTTCCTATGTCACTGGCCTGAATGTCTGAAAAAATGGCCTCTCGAAACCTCGAAGATCCTTTCGCATCTGCTCCACAAATGTTCGATAGGCAAGAATCATTTCTGTACTTTGTTCAGTGTTACTATTGTGCAGCTGTGACTTGGGAGGTCAGCATAAATTCAACGCGTACCGTCCGGTTACTTGGGGCAACAGTTGTGGTTCTAAAGAACGATGCTGAAATTATCATGGACGGAGCATTTGAGAAATGAGGACGTTTTAAGAAATATAGGAATGAAAAGGCCATTTATATTTTGAGAAGGTTGATATTTCTGGGACGCATAATGAGGATAGTGGGTTTGGAGAATTTGATACTCACGGGAAGGCAAAAGAGGCAGAGAGAAACAACGAATAACCTACCCTAATGATCTTGTGTAAATACATGACAGAATCGGGACAAGGAAGGATAGTAAGAAGACAAACATTACATAGATCTACAAAAGATAATTTGGTTGGTTGGTTTTGTTTAGCAGCATATGAATATCTATGGGATATTCAATGCCGAAATTTAAATATTTTGTACACAATTTTATTTTATTTTTAGTGATAATAAAAGTTTAGTGGTACAAATCTTACTAATTAATCCATAGCTGAGGGAGAAGAGTTGAATTCATGCCTTTCCCAAGAGGATTTGAATGAATATAACGAACCCGACTGGAATTGGAACTCGTTTTTCCGATTAACATCAGACCACCCGCTCATGTAATCTTACAGCACCTCGTATTCCCAAGCGATCACCCATCTAGGTACTGACCAGCCTCGACATTGCTTAACTTCGGTGATCGTACGGAAACCGGTGTTTCAACGTAATGTGGCTGTAAATCATAAGATAACCATTATCGCCCACGTCTTGAAGGAACACAACGCATATAAGAAGGCCTGATCTTGCATAAAAGGTGGGATGTTGAAATAAGCAGGTGGGGTAAATTCTCTCGGCCGGTGATCGCTAGTTGTTATGAGTCCAGAGATAAAAGAACTTCAACGCAGGGAATTTTAATCTTAACTATTTTATTAACGTTGACGTATACATACATCTAACTAGCCAGTGGAGTCGCTCTCTCCTTCCACTGGGAAGCAGTTCCAGACACGTCTACATTGTTCGAAAGTTAAGACTCAACTGTCGAAAACCCTTTCTCTATCTATCATTCTCACACTCGTTCAGCCAATCATAATCGACTTCCCTGTTTTGTCTTCTATCTGACCCCTAAGGTCAGCCTCAGGAAGTCCGAGCGGAAATATACTTCTCTAAAAAATAATAATCTGCTAAACTATTATTTAACAGGTTGTAATAAGTGGTGAGGATTGAAAAGTATTAGGATGGGGTAAAATTAGTTTAGAATTTAGTTTATTATATGTAAACATGCAGCGAATTAAAATTTTTCCTTTATATAAGAACTAAATATAAACCTTCCAAAGCATGTTTCTAATGGCTTTTATATGTTACTCTTTTTCTCGAAGATCGTGGTGTGTTGTTGTATATAGCCATAAATTGACTGCGAAAGGATGTGAATAAGGTCGACATTTCACGCTCGTCAAACACTTACGGTATTCTGTCAAAGAATACTTTTTACTACAAGGACAATTGAATTCTTAGTTATTATTTAGCTCAGTGAATTCGGTCTCATGTAAGATCTCGATCGGAATTTCTTTGGAAAAATCAACATTAAGTGATGACTCTCTTTCATTCTCAAAGTAACTTTGACCAACATCTTCCGCCGAAAAAGCTGATAACTTCAATATTGTTTTCTCTGTTTACACACTTCAAATTTCTGATGAATTCTTTGATAGAGTTGAGACAGAGTTTTGACATCATTTCCCTGCAAAACATCCTTCCTAATGGGCCTACAAGACAAACAATTTTATCTGATATCATGTAAATATGGGGAAACATTCAATGCCTTCGTCACCCCCATTGACTTGAAAGCAACACTCACGTCGATTTCTTTTAATATACTCATCTCTGTTCATTCAGGTGATAGCGTCTTTTGATTATTAGCAAGTTTTTATAGTATTTTAGCAGATGGTCTTCTTCTTCTTCTTCTTCTTGCCGTGTCCCTTCAGGGCCTGAGCGATAATGGCACCCCACAATTTTCAATCTTTTGTAACTCTTAACAAATTTTGTCTGTTCCTTATCTCTCCTAATCACTATTCTGTCAACCTTTTACACAAGCTCGTTAGGCAGGTAATGCGTTGTTTTTCTCTGTCCTGTAAGTATCAAATTCCTAAGACCTCTTTCCTCATTATATGTCCTAGTAATTTCAATTTTCTCTTTCTGATGTTAAGTATAAGTATCCTTTTTTGTTTTCACTTTGTCTAAAATTTCGTCATTACTCAGTCCATGGTATTCTCAGCATCCTTCTCTAGATCCATATTTCTATTACCTCAAGTTTTCTCGTCATCTGTAAGATTTCCTTTTTCAGCTCTTTGGGCAAATGGCTGTCATTAACTAGTGCGAAGCGAGTAATATAACTACCGATGACTACAAGAATATATCCTCTTTTCTAAATACTGTCCTTAATTCAGACCTTAAATGCAGATTAGTTGTTCAGCACAGGCTGTAAATCTTGCATGACTGGACATAATATCGTTTGGGAGATTGTGAATGGTACTGAGTAGTTAACACAGGCGGAATGAGCATTTTGGAAACCGATGATATTTCATTCCAATGAGGTCACTGAGGTGGTCATTTGCTAGCACAAATTCCCTCCAAAGATTGATGTCTTTTTCAATGGAAACCTGTGTGAAATGGCAACTCGCTCTCTTATAAAATTTGTTTTCTTTCACAAATGTTTCTTTATTCTTGAATGTCAGCGTAACTTGCCCACTGCTTTCCTTTCAATATAAAGGCATTTAATGGTCGTTTGTAACAGAAGGATTAATGCCAAATTTCTCGACAAAATAATATCATACATTCCTTATATTATTCAAATAATCCTCAACTCATATAATACATTTCTCATAAGAGTCTCGTTTAAATGTTTCTTGGGGCGGGGATGCTATTGTTTCTTTTCCGCTGTTCAAACTTTAGTGAAAAGCAGATTCTGCACGTCTGTTAGACATGTTTACAGGTATCCTTTTGATTTTGAAAGTAATTTGAAATAATAACATTGATATTTACTTAATGTTCTTTTATGAAGCCTAAGGTGATTTTCTAAGCGTAGCTTAGATGTCACACAAGACCGAAAGTATGAGTCACTCAGTGAGGATCGAACTCACTATTCGGTCGTAATTGACCTAACGAGACAAGCTTGGTCAGCATTATACCACGTCGGAGTGCTCTTTTTACGAAATCCTTTCTTCTTGTTGTTGCTGTTGAAATTTGATGGCAATGAACTTAAAATAGCCAATCAGAACTTCCTATAATTTCTTGACAGATTGTAGGACATTTTTAGATCAGCTGCCAATTTGACTTCAGTGAATCGATCAGACTTATTAGTAAGACAGGAGTAAATATTGTGTGTCTGTCTCTCTGTGTGTGACGGTAGATCAATGAACCGTTAGCCAGATAAATGTTGAATTGAAATATTCATTTGACGTGATTAATATACAGCAATGAATTGAATACTAAGGAAGGAGATTATTATTCACAGTCGGTCTAATGTCCTCATTTTTGTTTTTATTATCGCAACTATAAGTCGTTGTAATCTCCAGCCTTCTTCAGGTTTCTGTCTTTCCGAGTATCCCTCGGAGATATTCAAACTGAACACTTTATTCAATTTACAAGTATAGATTGTTCACTAAGGACATCTCGTCTTATTCTTTATTTAGTACTGATCAGTTATTAGTTGTTTTCTTTCTATTAAGTCTAAGTCTGAACTATCTGGCTCGGAGGTTGAACTCGCAATTGCTATGTAACCACAATCACGAACCCAAACATTACTCCATTAGGCTATTAAATAAAGTGTTTAGTTCGAAATTCCCAGAAAATTTCTCGGATCGACAGACACCTGAAGAAGGTTTGAGTGAACAATGGTTGAAATGCTGTGATAGCAACAACAAAGATGAGGACAATAGTCCGAATATAAATAATGTAAATAATGATAACTCCTCATCCCAGAAATTCAGGCAGAAGGATATTATGTTGAAAATATTTATGTAAAATAAATGTTTCTTATCATCATTAGGCTATGGACTTATTGATGTACCTACAGTGTGCAATGGATAAATTGTCGTCTAAGTTACGCGAAAAATGAAAATAACACTGACCTCTCATTTTAACAGATATATTTACCAAAATTACACAAAAATATCTTGAGATACTAAAGAGTAAATATATTCAATAAAATCGCCATTGGCATCAACCACGGTCTCCAGACGCCTTCGGAATCTTCTAGACGGTCTCCTTGTTTAAGTTGGTGTATGATGCGATAATCCTTGCCTTCAATTTATCTTTGGTGTTACAAGGAGTTTTGTTGGTCTCTTGCTCAACTGTGGCCAACATATAATAACCAAGAGAGTTGCAGTTTGGGGAGGTAGATGGCCACATGTAAGGGTGATGTGGTCACAGAAATTATCTGACAACCATGACTGGGTTCTTTTGCTTGTGTGGTATGGTGCAGAGTCCTGTTTCCAGACATAGGGTCTTCCGACATCCACCCTCTTGACCTAGAGCAGCACTACCTCCTCGAGACACTTGATATAGTGTTGAGTCTGAGGCCCTGAGGGAAAATGAATGAAGGTATAACGTCGCCATCACTAGTGATCCCTCCAAACACCTTCGTAATCACCATTAGACTCATCTAACTCTTTCTGAATCCGAAGCAGTTCAGCATGCTGTTTCAAAATTTCTGGCAGAGTGAATTGCGTCACGGTGCTCTTTTTCTCACAGACGGTGCCTAAATGAGCCTACTATACAGTGCTGTCGACAAAATCTAAAGCAAACAACGCGCATGCGTGAAATTCAAAATATAAAATGACTACAATTTATACATCGCACCCTGTACATATCTGAAGGTCACAAATACAGTTGATACAAAGGTACCGCCGTCCTGGATATGTCGATAAACTTCATCCGTTAGCAAGGCCTCTGATCAGGAGTTTTTGAGGAGCGTGGAACCACCTTTAAGTGTTGTGGTTCTTAGGTTGACTCTACCCGAGGTGGTAGGACATGTTAGGGTTCCAGCTATAGGCAAATAGTTAATCCCCAACAAAAAAAAACTGGGGTCAAAGTCCTATGAAAGTGCAAAAATATTTATACTTAAAATACCGGCAATACATTTCTGTAAGGAAAAAATTATTACCAGCAATATTTTTTTGTCAAGGAAATTACTAATGCTCCCAAGAAAAATAAATATCGGTACTAAATGGCTCATAAGGAGTTAATATGCTGCTAAACAAACTAAGATACGATCATGGTTATTATTTAGATTATTCGCTTTACTAAGAGAATCTGCTGCCTCATTAGATATGAAAACCCTTTATAGATTTGTTGAATAAACGGGTTACATGAATATCAAGTATCCAAATAAATTCTAATTAAAAACAGAACTTATTTTTTAATTAAATAATTCTTTAAAAAAGAAACAGATTAATGCAAAAAAAAAGAAAAGCCCATTGCTTCCTGAATTCAGAAAATAATTGAAGCAATTTAAAATATGCTTTAAAATTTTGTGAAATTTCTACAGAATATTTGAGAACAGAAATGATTCTGTATTGACAAAAGTAATTCGTCCATAAGTACAACAACATTGAGATTTAGAAATGGCATCTTGTCTCAAATATTATAATTATCGTAAGGACAATCTGTTTACGGAAGCAAATAATAACTAAAATTAATTTCAAATATTGAAATTTATTGATAATAGTTACTTGAAATA